GTAGGTGTAATATTAGTAATAGTAGTAGTAGTAGTATAGTAGTAGTAGTAGTAGTAGTAGTAGTAGTAGTAGTAGTATTTAGTACTAGTAGTTGTAGTAGTAGTAGTAGTAGTTGTAGTATTAGAGATATTAGTTGAAATATTAATCGTAGTAGTAGTAGTAGTATTAGTTGTTGTAATATTAATAGTAGTTGTAGTTGTAGTAGTGGTTGTAGTAGTAGTAATAATAGTAGTAGTAGAAGTTGTAATATTAGTAGTTGTAGTAGTAGTAGTTGTTGTATTAGTAGTAGTAGTTGTAGTAGTAGTAGTAGTAGTAGTAGTTGTAGTAGTAGTGTAGTAGTAGTAGTAGTAGTAGTTAGTAGTAGTAGTAGTAGTTGTAGTAGTGTAGTAGAGTAGTGTAGTAGTAAGTTGTAATATTTGTAGTAGTAGTAGTAGTGTAGTAGTAGGAGCTCAGGACGGCCTTGCTGGTGCCAGAGTCAGGACTAAACAAGGGGAGTCAGAGTTTCAGGTTCATGCAGCTAAACCTGGAACAGTCTGAACATGTGAGACAGACTCTTTCTGTGACGCTGTTAAATCCAGACTCTAAACATTTCTGTTTAACTGTGCAATAACTGAAAGGTTTTCATTCCGCACTCTTCTCTCCAATTTATGTCTCTCTTTTTATTTAATCTTCATGATATTTATGTTTTGATTTGTTTTATTATGATTTTAATGTATTTCTTATTCTGTAAAGCACTTTGAATTACTTTGTGTACGAATTGTGCTGTACAAATAAACTTGCCTTGCCTTGCCTTGCCTAGTAGTAGTAGTAGTAGTTGTAGTAGTTGTAGTAGAAGTTGTTGTAGCTGTAGTAGTAATAGTAGTAGTTGTAGTAGTAATAATAATAGTAGTAGCAGTAATAGTAGTAGTAGTAGTAGTAATATTTGTAGTAGTTGTAGTAGTAGTTGTAGTAATAGTAGTAGTTATAGTACTTGTAGTAGAAGTTGTAGTAGCTGTAGTAGTAATAGTAGTAGTTGTAGTAGTAATATTAATAGTAGTAGTAGTAATAGTAGTAGTAGTAGTAGAAGTTGTAATATTTGTAGTAGTTGTAGTAGTAGTTGTAGTAGTAGTTGTAGTAGTAGTAGTAGTAGTTGTTGTAGTAAGTAGTTGTAGTAGTAGTAGTTGTAGTAGTAGTTGTAGTAGTAGTTGTAGTAGTGTAGTAGTAGTTGTAGTAGTAGTTGTAGTAGTATTAGTAGTGAATCAGATCCTGGGTTTGGTCGTCTGAAGTTCTGAAGTTGAAAATCTTGTTGCTCTGATTGTGTAACTGCTGAGCATTCCGCCCATAGACCTGCATACAGTCCACCTCTTTCCACACACATAGTCTGTATCTAAAACTGTGATTCATGTGAAAGTTTTTTTTCTTTTTTTTTTTTTTTTTTGAATCATGTGAAAGTTTTAGTTTTTTAAATTTTGATTCATGTGAAAGTTTTTTTTTTTTTTTTTGATTCATGTGAAAGTTTTAGGTTTTTTTTTTTTCTAATTCATGTGAAAGTTTTAGTTTTTTTTTTATTTTTATACATGTGAAATTTTTTAAATTTTGAATCACGTGAAAGTTTTATTTATTTTACATTTTGATTCATGTGAAAATTTATATAGTTTTTTTTTTTTTTTTTTTTTTTTTTATTCTTGAAAGTTTTTTTTTTTTATTTTGATTCACTGTGTAAGTTTTTAATTTTATTTATATATTTCATTTTTCTTTAAATTTTGTGTGAAAGTTTTTTTTTTTTTTTTTTTTTTTTTTGATTCATAGAAAGTTTTAGTTTTTTTTTTAATTCAGTGAAAGTTTTTTTTTTTTTTTTTAAATCATGTTAAAGTTTTAGTTTTTTTTTTTTATTCATGTAAAGTTTTAGTTTATTTGTTTTTTTTGATTCATGTGAAAGTTTTAGTTTTACGTTTTTTTTTTATCATGTGAAAGTTTTAGTTTTTTTCTTTATCATGTGAAAGTTTTAGTTTATTTGCATTCATGTGAAAGTTTTAGGTTTTTTTTTAACTTCATGTGAAGTTTTATTTTTTTCTTTATTTTGATTCATGTGAAGTTTTAGTTTTTTTTCTTTTTTTTTTTTTATTCATGAGAAACGTTTAGTTTTTTTTTTTTTATTCAGTGAAAGTTTTTGTTTTGTTTTTTTAATCATGTGAAAGTTTTAGTTTTTTTTTTATTCATGTGAAAGTTTTTTGTTTATGTTTTGTTTTGATTCATGTGAAAGTTTAGGTTTTTAATTCATGTGAAAGTTTTAGTTTTTTCTTTATTTTGATTCATGTGAAAGTTTTAGTTTTTTTTTTTTTTTATTCATGAGAAAGTTTTAGTTTTTTTTTTTTTTATTCACGTGAAAGTTTTTTTTTTTTTTTTTTTTTAAATCATGTGAAAGTTTTAGTTTTTTTTTTATTCATGTGAAAGTTTTAGTTTATTTGTTTTGTTTTGATTCATGTGAAAGTTTTAGTTTTTTCTTTATTTTGATTCAGTGAAATTTTAGTTTTTTTTCTTTTTTTTTTTATTTCATAGAAAGTTTTTATTTTTATTTTTTTTAATTCACGTGAAAGTTTTTTTTTTTTTTTTTTTTTAATTCATGTGAAAGTTTTAGTTTTTTT